TATGTTAAAAGTGGAACCCCAATGCCTTAGTGTTTTAATCAATTGAATTTTCTTTAAATCAAATCTTGCATAAATCTACTTCTCAATCACACTTATTTTTTTCATCTCTGTTATTTTCTTTACATCGCTCTCTGTGGAAACGACACTCAGACTTCCGAGCTACACTACTATACGATACCTTCCCTTGGGTTTTGAAAAGTGGTACGAACAGACAGACTTGACGGAAAGGACTAGTAGTGCAAAGTGAGATCTAATTTAAGGACGGCAACAACTATTTTTGGAGATTATGGACGAAAATATAACTTTGAGTGTAGTTTAAGGACCATTACTACAATTTAGCCTATTGCTTTTCAAGTAGACAACATGTCTATTTAGAGGGAATAATAAATTTTGCATACTTAAATACCTATTTTCTTGAAGAAGGAAAATGCTTACGCCACTATCACATCCTTTGCAAACTCCCTTAGAAATGGTCCACAGAGCAAATAATACTTTCTTGCACCGGATGCAGACTGTCATCACTCTCATGCTATGCTCTCACATGTCCTTTTACGCGTTTTGAAATTTAATCTTCTAGTTTGGGAAAAGATTCTGAGTTGAAAAGGTATTAAAGATCGTGCAGACAGTGTTTCCTTGGGACCCATGTTCCCCATGGCAACTAAACAACAAAAAAGGGGTACAATTCTCTACGAGAGTTCGCCCTATGATTCCATGGAGGAGAGCAATACTCATAACATGGGTCGGTGTTATTAAGAGTGGAATTTCATTAAATTGTTTAATCACTTACAAAACCTAGTAAGTGTGAGATTTTATCACAAAATGCCTCGGTGTTATTATAAATGGAATAATTTATTATAAGTTGTAATTTATTAAGTCAAGTTTCCGATATAGAACTTTATATTCTTCAACATCACTCTCACATAACGATTCTATGCATTTTTGACCCAATTTGTAATTTTCCTTTTAAGTCACACCCTAAAACACACTTGCTGTGTTCACCAAAAAAAAAAAAAAA